AAAAAAGTTGCAACTGTTTTGTTGACATTCTGAATGCTTCTAAGTAAATACGGTTTTTTTATTAAAAAAAAATTGTACCAAGATAGAATCAGTTTTAAAAGCCCAAGGCTGCTTAGCAATAATCACATCATATTAATGCTTACTATGTTATAGAAAGTGGTGTTGTTCTTCTGATAGCAGCACTGATATTGTGATGGAATAATCCAAAATATATGTTGACTTTGAAACCTGTAGCAGTGTCTCAGGGATAAACTGCTGCGGCTAATGGCTGCCATACTGCCAGGGTGGGAACACAGCCTTTTAATGTTGCATTTGTGCTCTGTCCTTTTCTGCACGAGTCGTGACAGTACTTGTCCAGGAGCAGATGGCAATAGGTACAGATCCAGTTAGAGTAACTTGTAAGGTCTTGGAAATAGTAGTGAAGACATCTAGCTTTTAGAACATTCAAATGTGAACTTAATACATTTGAGCATATATTTTGCAGAATTTGATTGCTGTCTTAGTCTATTTTCTGCTTGGTAAATAATAAGCAGTAGGTGTATTTGGCTTATGGTTTTAGAAGCTTGGAAGTTCAAGTTTGAAGGGCCACCTGTCATAAGAGCTTTATCACAGCATGGCAAGCGAGTTTGAGAAATAGAAAACTGAACTGAATTCACCGTTTTTAAAATCAAGAATCAACTCTTCACATAACTAACCTACTGAGTTGTTACACATTATTGGGTTCATAAGAGCCATTTTCCATGACATAGAAGCAGTTCCAAAAGGAACTACTCTTTTTTTTTTTGGTAACAGGAATCAAACTCCAACCTTGCCTGTGCCAGGAAGGCATTATGCTGCTGAGCTATATCCCCAGCTCAGGAAGTATTCTTAGATGTGTTGGAATGGTAATGAAATGTCAACATGAGTTTTGAAGGAGACATTCAAATGAGAGCATTTGCACTTCAAGCTAGTAGCATATACTCTTTTTTTATATCCTGGAAGGAGTTGTCATTGCATTTTTTAAGTTAATTGTGCATCATCTTTGTGCAGCCTACTTTTCCCTGTATATCACAGATTACCTTCGCAATTGAGGTTTACTAATTAAATGTTAGGTGGCATCACTCGACTTCATTTTCTTCGGCGTGTGTCAATGAAGGGAAATGGGACAAGATATATTTGACTTCAATCAAACCAAAGATGGTGTGTGTAATAGTATATTTTTGATTGAGGTGTGTTTGCACCGTCATCATATTGACCAGAGTCAGATTCTTACTTGGCACATCTAGATGCTCCGTCTTTCTGTGACCTAGATAGAAAACATATGGAGGTTTCTGTGTATTTTTAGCACATGATAATCTTTCGGCCTAAAGGAAAGATACACAAAAAACTTTAAGTGAAAAGGTAATCTCTAGTTTTGATACTTTGATGAAGTGGTAGAGAAAGAAAATTATATTTTCTTTAGAAAATGTTAAAAATTCAATTTCTTCTGAACTCAATTTTTGTTACATTTGTTTAACTTTTAAATAGTGAATCATCTTTTAAAGACCTGCTTATCATTTATAGTAGACCTGATTATCATTTATTGCTAATCCCAGTGAAACTAGTTGGAAAATACCCCAAGCCAGGCCCCTGATGCAATAGTTGCGTAGTGTGAAATCATCTTTCTATGTTGCTAGCAGCAGTGTGCTTTTAAAATAAAAATTAAATCACATGGTTTTTTTTTTTTTTTTTTTTTTTTTTTTGCGGAACCAGGGATTGAACTCAGGCCCTTACGATTGCCAGGGAAGTGCTTATTCTACTGAGCCGTCTCCCCAGCCCCTAAATCACATTTCTTGTAGTCATGGTCCACAGCTTTTCTAGAACCCCTTGCTGAATGACTTTTCCACAGTTCTGTATTCAGTAAGGAGCACAGTGAGATAGCAGACTTCATTAACCAAAAAGATAGTATATATCAAAACTGATTGTGCATTGGTCTGGTCTCTGGGCATGTTTTCCCTAATCTACCCTACTACATGCATGTAGTTAAAAGAAAACCCAAGCTCATCATGTCTGCATTTTAGATTTAGTTAATTGTAAGTTATCTATATTAAAAGTAATTACAAAGATAATTTTAAAATATTTGCCTCTTTCAAAATTTTTTACAGTTATTTAACTATTTACAAAAATTCTGTGGTATGACTGACCATACTCTGTAAAATAGTAATTATCTTATTTGGAGTAACATTTAAATTCTAAATATTGAATTAAATGTTAAGACATTTTCTGAAGTTTAAGATAAGAGGATATTGAATTTTATGCCACAGTGTTTGCCTACATTGTGTATTTTAATTTCCCAACAACTCTGAAAAAGAAACAACCCCTTGTCATGAGAAGACTAAGACTAAGGGAAGTTGAATATATTGAACACTACAATTTGTACAGCTTCTAGTTGGAGTCAAGGTTTGTTCTGTCACACTTGATATCTCATGAGTCCATTCTATAAAGAGATTAATAAATATAGAAATGATTACTGTAAATTCTTGAATTTATTAACAAAGTTATATTAAAAGTTGTATATGTCGTTTCATTTCTAGGCAGTTATTTGGCAGAAAACTAGAGTATCTGACCACAGGATGGCTCTCATGTCAGTTCTGGGGACTGCTATTATGGGCAACTTGGCATCTTTTCAGTACCACTCAGAAGAATCTCAGGTACCCATGAAAATGTTCTGTCGTAATTTTGACTTGGTAATGATGTAATTAAAATATATCTCTTTTGGGAGGTTAGAATAAGAGGTTTTTTGTTTGTTTTACATTTTTATCAAAATATGTATATAAAGTAGGTAGGAAAGAAAGTAGATACAGTACTAACTTCCTTTCCCAGCCCCGCTTTTATCTTTTTTTTTTTGCTTAAATTGATTTTTTAAAAATAATTTTCAACTTAGAATTTTATCTTCCTTTACACTGTAAAGGTATTGAACTTGTTTATCTTTTCTTTCTTTTACTCATTGAGTAAATATACACTCAAACTTTCTTTTCTTGGTTTGGTGCTTTTTGACTCCCTGTAATGCTAAATGATACTTCCCTTGCTTGCTCTTTCCTATTTCAATTTTGTTGGCATCACAGTTACTTTTCACTCATTGCTGGGACAAAATACCCAACAGCCCAAATTAAGGAAGGAAAGGTTTATTTAGCTCACAGTTTGTGGAGGTTTCAGGCTATACTGGGCTGGCTCCCAGGCAGAGCGGCACATGACAGAGAGCAGCAGTTCACCGCAGAAAACAGGAAAGAGCAAAGGGGAGGGCAGCAGCTGCGGCTTCCAGCCAGCCTCTGTTCCCTCCTTACATTATAAACAAGCTACCCAGGGCTGGGGGTGTAGAACTCAACAGAGTGTCCATGCCCTTCTCTTGCACAGGATGAGGATGTTTACAAACTAAGAATTCTGGCTCTCTGCTGAGTCACTTAAACTTCTAAACTTCTCAAGTTGACACAATGTATCAATCAGTACAGTCATTAAGACATTTTTATTATCAATCTTAATTGCATATTTTAATATGTAATTTTGTTGCTGCAGTTGTTAACAACAATTTTAGGAGTGAACTCAAGACCTCATGTTCTACCACTGAGCTATATTTCTGGTCCTAGAAACATTTTTGTTTGTTGGTTGGTTTTGAGACAGGATCTTACTATGTACTTCAGGTTGGCTTTGAACTTGCTATATAGTCTAAGCTGGCCTCAAACTCATGGTAATGCCCCTGCCTCAGCCCCCCAGGGCTGTGATTAACAGGGCATGTGCCACTGTTTCCGACCCCATAGCCACTTTTAAGTCATTCATTTTTTGTCTGAATATTGATTCCAAAGGTTAAACACTTGCATGGAGTATACATTATTACATAGTTTTCCTTGCAGAGCCTAATATTGTGTTAGGATTATATTCTTCTCCAGATACCCAATATTATATATCTCTTGTTCCATTCATATAAATGAAAATTTTTCTATTGTCTTGATTAAACAGAATTCTTTCTTTTTTTTTTTTTTCAAAGTTTTATTGATAAACAGCAATGAGACAGTTTCAAATCAAATCGGAAGTACAGTTTTAACAAACAATACACTGCATATATTCTTCTTAGTGGTTAATTGCTGTACAAGATGCGGACTTGTGATCCTATTTACAAACACCATTAGAACAAATCATTCTATTCATTAAGAGAATGCAACTATATATCTATCCCAACCTCTTTGAATACACAGATACAGAATGGACATTCCTCGGTGTACCCCATTTTTTCTAAGTTCCGTTATTGAATATTATAGGTGTGTAAACTCAGCATAATATTCTAAAAGAGGGGCTGGTGAGATGGCTCAGTGGTCTAAAGCACCTACTTAGAACAAGCTTAGCAAAGCACAGGGACCACGGTTCAATCCCCCAGCACCACATGGCAGCCGGCCCCGCCCCCTGGTGGGCTGAGCTGGCCACACACACACACACACACACACACACACACACAAATAAATAAATTAAAAAAAAATATTCTAAAAGAGTCCAGTAGCCCATAATAGCATTGGGTCTTCTGTTTAACTGGCAATGTCAGAAATTATTGACCTGAGTCCCCCACAGCTCAACTTAACAGCATGGCTTCAGAATTCTTTCTTGTGTTAGCATCAGTCACCTAACATTTATCATTTTCCTTGCTTTACTCATGAACTACCTTAGAGGTTCTTGTTATTTCTGAGCTCCCAAAAGTTTTTCAAGTGAAATTTTCTTCCATCAAATCAGCAAAAATTCTTTTGGTGTTTCTTCTCTAGTTTGTAATCCTTTCCATTCCCTCTTCTTGTACTCCTTTCATCCTGAGATAGGCTTACGTCAGAACACTGGTTGGTTCCTTACTTTTTATGTCCCAAATCTGTGTTAGTAGTTAGTCCTTCTCAGTTTTTTGAAGGTACATCTTTAAATATCTTCCACAGAAAAGGGACAAACACAAGTTTTAATGTCTCAAAGTGACATTATTTTGCACTTTGTATGTTGATGGTATTATAGCCACAGAATTATAGATTGAAAATAGCTTTCCTTAGAACACTGAGGACATTGAGTCTTTGATCACCTGTTATTGACTGAAAGATTGATCATAGCGTTTTTTTCTAGATAGTAATTTTTTTCTATTCAGAAATTCTTTGTACCTTTCTTTCATGTTTGTGCTCAGATTTACAAAAAAATTGTTTAAGTGTGTGTCTGGTTGGTCATCGTTGTGCTCAGCATTAATGTGGACCTTGTGACTCTGAAGACTTTACTTTCTTATCCCTGGGTTATGTATTCCCATCCACTAACATTGTTTTTCTCCTCCGTCTCCTGTTCCTCTTACCCTTCCCCCTTCCCTTCTCCTCCCCCTTTTCTCCTCTTCCCCTCCCCTTCTCCTAATTAGGATCTTCTCTTTTGTCAAGCTATCCATCTTTTCTTTCTTCTGAAAGTTTTGGGAGATCTCACTGACTGTATCCTTTAATTCTTTTATTGAATTGTTTACTTTGAGAGTTAAGTTTAATTTCAAAGAACATTTTTATTTTGTTTTTATAATTTACGAATATAAAATCTTTCTAATGATACTAAGTTTGGGGTTTTTTAAATGTATTTAGTACATGGTATATAGGGTATCACTACACAGATCGAACTCGTAGCAGTCCTCCTGTTTTCAGCCTACCAAGCACTGGGATTACAAGTAAGCGCATGCCACCAGGCCCAATCTCAATTGCTGTCTCAGTGTGCCCCCAGGGTAGGGCTGGCATGGCACACCGGGGATTGAACCCCAATCCCTACATCTGCCTAAGTAGGTGCTTTAGTCCTCTGAGCTATCTGGCTTGCCCCAAGATACTAAGTTTCTGTTTTTAAAGTATTTCTTCCTTAAATAATCTTTTTCTCAGGTTTTGTTCTACTTATTTAAGAGGTCTGTTTTGCAGAATGTCGGATTACCCATGAATAGGAAATCAAATTGGATTTTGGTGACTGGGCTTGGTGACTGTAGCCTCTCCCTCAGTGTTGTGTAATCAAGATCCTTACCCTGTTCATAAATTCAGAAAGAATCCCAGTTGTCATAATAGGGTGAGTGTTTAGGGCTTAATCTGCATACCATACATATCCTTACTGCTCTGGTTTGTAAGAAACCAATTATATCTCTCTCCTTCCATCCATCTTTCTCTTTCTTTTCTTTCCTTTAGCACGAAATTAGTTGAATTAGAGTTAAGACACACTTGTCATTATTCAGTTTCTTTAGAGAAAAGGGCTTTTGTTTGGCTGGCTGCTACCTTTAAGCCTGCAGTATCTCTGGAATTCTACTTTTTATAGTAGTTGATTCAGGATGCTAAAGGTGCATCTAAATTCCTGCTAGATTCTTTGTAGCTTCATAGGACTCTGTTGCCTGTGTGTCTTTATGCTTGAGATACACTGGCTGTACTAATTGGGTCTACAGATTAGTAGTGTGGGCATCAAATGGAAGCTTATTAGGAACAAACAGTCTTGGGCTCTACCTCAGATCTGCTGAATCAGAACCTTCATTTTTACAAGGTCCTTAGGTGCACCATTCATGAATGGAAAGCAGTAATTTAGACCTTGGTCAGTTACAATTCTGTGTGTGGAAAGAACTATCACAGGAATCAGTTCTGCAGTTGGGAATCTTTTTTTTTTTTTTTTTTTTGTCTTTTTTGAGATAAGTTACCAGATCTGACCTTGCCCATTTATTTGTAGATTTCCTTTTGAGACAGAAATCATATAAAGATGCTCAGTACTCTGTCAGATCAGAATTACTGCTGTACCTTCATGTGTTATTTTTGCATGGAGGAATGAAAGGAGTTGGGAAGGCATGTGTTAGTGTTCCACTTACATGGCACTGAAAGTTTGGGTGTCTGGTCAAAGCGATCATATTAGCACATCCCTCTTCTGCTCTTACACTATGTGGCTAAGCAGATGTGTTTGTATTGCCACTGGCTACCCATTACCACTCCATTTCCTTTATTTTCATACTCTTTTCTCCTATAACATATCCTATGTCTGAATTTTTTTGATTTACCTCTTGTCTTTGGCCAAAGGCAATCCTACATTGTTTTCTAGCTGTTTTCTCTTACCCTGCATCTGGGGTACATATATTTCACTTGTGGAACTTGTCCACCAAAGCCTGCACTGGCATGACCGATCCATTAGCTAATATGAACTTTAAGTGTAGAGAATCTTTGTATATCTCTCCCTTACTGTGACAGTCTGTTTCATCTGTAGGGACCCATGTAGAAGAACATCTTTATTATGAATGATGGTCTCAGTTGAGTCACTAATGTGGCAGTTTTTGTTAGGTATTTTTCAAATGTAGCTTTTTTGACCTGATGGAGCTCCTTTAACCTCCATCTTTTTTTTATCTCTGCATCATTACTCCATGCTAACTTGTACATGAACTCCTCGTACTGCCTGATTTTTAACTCCTAAACCATGTATATGTTTTTAGGATTCAGAATTTATTTCTTTTTATATTCTTCCCTAAACTTACTTTGCAGCTCCTTATTTTAATTTGTTCACAGCCATACCTTTCTTCTACTCCACTGCTCTGAAACTTGTCAAATTTAGTGCATTTTGATACAAAAGTTTTTGTCCTAGTCATTTATTTGGTATTTGATGGGCAAGAAAATTGTTAAGTGTCAGTTGCCTTGTGACTTGTTACCCTTTCCAGCCAAAACAGTTTGTTGGGTACGCATTGTGCCTTCCAGAACCAATTAGCAATAAGTACAAAGGTAAGCCTATACTAAGTTCTTGGTTCTTTCCATATTGCTCTATCATTCCTGCTTTTCAGAGAGAAAATTCTTTTATTCTCCACTATTTTATATGCTTTGAAATTTTAATTTTTGAAATTATTTTGAATGCATATATGCTTTTGTTGTTTTGTTTCCTCTCCCCACTTACCTCTCCTATTCCATAGTTTGGCAGATATTCTTCTCTCCATCCCTGATTCAAAACCAGGTGCTATATTGCAGTTGATGCCTCAGCCTGCCAAGATTTTACAGACTTGTTTTCCAAGCCAGCTTGGCTTAGTTTTGTTCTTCGTTTTGGAGTTGTTTCTGTTCTTTCCTGTGACCCTGGAAAGTATCTCCAGACAGTGACCACACAGCATTTTAAAGTTTTGTTTATGTTTTTCAAGAATGGTGGCATATCAGCTTCCTATATCAAACAGAAATACTAATTTTAATCCCCTACATTCCACAGAGTGTTTTCTTTCCTTATTTTCTTGCCAGAATTTAATTTCCAAAAGACCTTGTGTGTGATAGTATAGCATATAGGACTTTTATCTTAAACCATCACTCCCTTTTATGTGTTTCACATCCACAAGTCATTGTTTGTCTTACTTTTATATGTTAGGTAGGACTCTTAAAATTACTTTAGAATTTGATTTTATCACCTGTGTGTAGTTTGTACTTCGAGTAGAAGACAAGGGAATTTTCACATGAACTTGCTTCACTCTTGTTACCAGGATATTTAGGTTATTTAGAAATGTAACTCTATGCTGTTATGATGGGTTTTATGGCTGAAGGAGGAGAAAGATGAGTGTTTGGAGTCCAGTTAAGGTTATATAACAACATAATGATGGCAAAAAGGAGGCGGGTTTGACAGACTATAAACAGCAGGATTCTGTCATATTAAAGGAAGACAGGATGAGCCAGTTGAACAGCAGAGTAGAAGTGGAGTGACATATTCTGTGAAGCTTTGAGCTTGAGACTATTTTTGTGACAGTTGCAGATTTGAGAGTGAGAGAAATAGAAACTATAGTATCTATGTCTGAGCATCATTTTATATGACTGTTTATTAAAACTATAGTAGTGAATGAAATTATTCATAGTAATTGGAGAGAAAGAAGAAAGGGACAAATGATGGAATTCACAGGGACCATGATCATTTATAGAGCTAAGGAAAGGAGAGAAGCCAGTCAGTGAGGAAGTGTAAAGGAAGCAGAAAGACCAAGACAACGTTGAAACAGATTCATATGTTAGAGTGCTTCCCCAAGGAGGGAGTTACCTTTGATGGCAGGGGCTACAGAAAGTCAAATGAGATCACTGGAGTCGGTCATTAAAGAAGAAGCCAACTTAAAAGTGTGGTTGAAGAGAAAGGAATTTGATTGTACTTTGCCTTCAGTTTCTACTTTCATTCCTAGGTTGAGGTCCAGAATCATGTAAAGGCCTGTCTCATTTTTATTTTGTTGCACTTGATTTGGTCTTTTATATTTTACTTATAAGAACTTTTATTTTACTTTCTATAAAATTTAAATATAGCTTGTTAAGATTATCTTAGATCATTTTAAAGCTCAATATCTGAAAGTATTGTACAGTGTAACATGCTGTAATTATGAGGTAGTGTGAAAGGAAGCCACTAACTAGTTACTTTAGTCTTAACCCTTCAGATTAGAGAGCAGATTTTTTTTTTTAATTTGCACAAGCAATAAGTGTTTCAGAACTTAAAAAGTCTTTCCTTGATGCCCAGCAGGTGTTCTAAGAAGGATCTCATGTTACCTGGTAAATGATATAACCATTTATAAATGCTGTGAAGTTTTACAGTTAATTAAGTGGTATCATTTTGTAATGGATTATCCAGATTTATTAATTTATTTTTTCTAATTGGCACAATTTGGCGCTGTGACAATAATGCACTTAGTGTTCTAAAACTGGTAATGCGTCTCTTTAAACACTTATTTCCAAGAGGAGGGAAGTAAGAGAGGTGGTAGCCTACAGGCTTATACTGGTAAGGAGCCTGCTAGCTCCTGGTCAGCTAAAAATAGCACTCCACTGACATACTTGCCTTCTTTAACCTAAGCTAAAATGTGACCATTGGTGTTTCTTAGCCGATTAATAACACATTGAATTCCAGTTGTTTGCAATAAGAGATATAGGCCTCTATTAACTTGACCAAAATCACATAGCTAGTAGTTGAGCTGGGATTCATACCCTGGCAGTCTAGCTTGACCTGTATTTCTAACATTCTGTATAGGGTCTTTAGCTATGTTAATTGCCAAAGGGTAGAAGTTAGGAACATGTTCTATGCCGTATACCCCTAACACTCTCTGTGCCTTTTCTTGTATCATTCATTTTTCCTTCTCTTTCATACATTTATAGAATAAAGACAACTTGTAAATAGTGAGTAACATTTTTGTAGAAAATATCTTTAAGGGGCCGGGGAGATGGCTCATTAGGATAAGCAAATCTGAGTTCAATCCCCGGTTCCGCAAAAAAAAAAAAAAAAGAAAAGAAAATATCTTTAAGCAAAAATGAAGGTGAAGTACAATGGATGTCCTAAGGAAGTCAATTCAAAGAATAAAAGACATTTTTTAAAACTCAGAAATGCAGACCCAATAAGATTAGCTTTATAGTATACTGAAAGATATATAGCAACTTCTTTATAGTTAAAAGAAACAAAAATAGAAAGAAAGCACAGTGAGGGAAAGAAAATAAAGTAAAACTTAGTAGAGAGTGAGTAGGGTATGTCCTAGGCCAGTTAATTTTTTTTTTTTTTTTTCCGGAATCGGGGCTTGAAATCAGGACCTTGCGCTTGCCAGGCAAGTGCTTATTCTACTGATCCATCTCCCCGGCCCCTATGCCAGTTAAATATTTAAAGGTATGATTTTATAAATGTGCCCTTTTCCTTAAGAGTTATATATGCCTGTTTGGTTTTCTTCAAGGTTAATTCTTGGGATATGAAGTGACTAGCTCTTAAGTTAAAAATTTATTTTTTAACTTTTAAAAATCTTTTAATGTGTTGTCTATAGCCAGACCCTGATGAGGATATTGGATACTCTGTGACTATCTATTATAATTACAGATTTATCTAAGTGGATTCTTTCCAAAGCTTGATGCAGACCACTCTAGTACAAGTCTTTCAACTCCAGAGAGGAGTTTCATTTTTATAAATAATCGACTCATCCATCAGAAAGACATATTAAAGGTAATACTTTTAGAAAAAAGTTTCACTTTGGTCAGAAATTTTAAACCAGCTCTGTTATTTGTCAGTATGTTTTAAAAATGGCTACTAGAATGTATTCCAAAATTATGCAAAGGCAGTAAACAGATAATCATATATTAAGCATGGTGCTGGTTATTATTTATGTAATGTGTTTCATTTACTCTTTTCAACAGACATGATACATAATTTTCCCCATTTATAATGAGGAAACAAATGTTAAATGATTTACTTAAGAACGTAGCTAGAAAGTAGCAGTTTTGATTTGAACTCTGAACCTCAAACCTTCTGTGCTACTATGATTTTTAGCCTTGAAGACAGCTGCATTGCATGCCTGTGCTTCTTAGGGTGCTTTCCATGTGTTCAGGCCCCAACAGGACTGCTTCCATTGCTGACATATTGGTTCCCTGCTGGGTGGTTGCAGCTATTTCAGGTTTCACTTGAATCTGCTGCTTTTGGTGGTATTTTAAGGTTGGCAGTACTGTATTAAATGGTGCTCTTGTGTTTTGTTCATTACATATTTTTGTAGTTAATCCGACATTATTACAATCTGAAGTGCCTAAAGGAATCTACTCGTTTGTATCCCATTTTCTTCCTGAAAATTGATGTTCCTACAACTGATGTGGATGTAAATTTAACACCAGATAAAAGTCAAGTATTATTACAAAATAAGGTACCTTTTTCAGATAATTTTTGTATTCATGCTCTATAAATGTATACAGCCTGCTTTCATATAAAAAATTTGCTATATTTTTAATTTTGTCTGTTATTTTCATAATATCTCTTAATATTTGTTAATTTATATTTTTTAAGGAATCTGTTTTAATTGCTCTTGAAGATATGATGACAACTTGTTATGGACCACTACCTAGTACAAACTGTTACGAAAATAATAAAACAGACGTTTCCTCAATCAACATGGTTGTTAGTAAAACAGCAGAAACAGATGTGCCTTTTAATAAACTGGAATCATCTGGAAACAATTACCCAAATGTTGCTACTTCAGTCTCTCTTTTCCAAAGTGATGTACATAATGATGAAGCAGGAGAAAACAATAATTATTTAAATCAGCAGACAAGTATTGATGAACATTGTGATAATCATTTCCGTGAAAAGTGTAAGGTCCATAAGGACACTAGAGATACATGTGAACAAATCCCAGTAAATACCTCACCATCAGAAGATGTCCAGAGTGAATGTCGTGAAACTTTTGTAAGTTCTGTTGAGCAGGCCCAGTTAGAAAATGGTGGTGAAGGCCTTATAGATGAGAAGAGGGCAAATGGAGAAACAGCAGTTCCTGTGAAGTCTTTAGAAATTTGTGCAGATGACTGGAGCAAGGGAAATGCGCTGAAGAATTCAGTGGGAGAGAATATTGAGCCCGTGAAAATTTTAGTGCCCCAGGAAAGTTTGGCACATAAAGTGAGCAAGCATAATCGTGCAGGCCATGAACAAGAAAATCTCAGTGATGGCCCCAGTAACAGAAAATCAAATGTGGTAGATGACAAGTCTGGACAGCTAACAGCCTATGATTTAATTAGCAGTCGAGTAATCAAGAAACCCCTGTCTGCAAGCGCCCTTTTCATTCGGGAACATCGTGCTCAGTTTCTGACAGAAAATCCCAAGACTAGTGTAGAAGCTGCAGCCATCCACATTGAAGAGCTGTGGAAGACATTGAGTGGGGAGGAAAAGCTCAAGTAAGTTTCCAGAGCTTGCATGCAGCCTGACTGCTCAGCTCTTTCCAGTCTATATGACTCACTGGTTTAAAAGAGTTTTTAAAAATGTCTTATTTATAGAAAAGCAGAATGGAAAATGCCTCTTGGGTGGGCTAGAGTATCTTTTTTGGTATCTTTTTTTAAATTTAGGGGCTTTGGGGGGATAATTTTTTGTTTTAAAACAGATTTTCTCTGTGTAACTCTCAACTGCTTTCTGATGTGTTAATTTGTTTTTAAAGGTATCCATTAGTTTCACTTTGAAAACACTTTCTTTTTTAAAAAATGTAGTTTCTAGGGCAGGGCATTTTTTAAAAAGCATTGCACTAGAGGAGTTAAAACAGTGGTGTTTCTGTCTTGACTATGCCCTTTAAAAAGTTAGTCTCTAGGGCTGGTGAGATGGCTCAGTGGTCTAAAGCACCTACTTAGAACAAGCTTAGCAAAGCACAGGGACCGCAGTTCAATCCCCCAGCACCACATGCCAGCCAGCCCGCCCCCTGGTGGGCTGAGCTGGCCACACACACACACACACACACAAATAAATAAAATTTAAAAAAAAAGTCTCTAAAATGTTTGACACAATACAAAGAATTGTGCCACTGTGCCAGGATCCTTGTAGTGCTATTAATACCATTCCTTTTCAGTGTAACTCAAGGTTTGCTTCTGTGATGTGTTATTTTTTTATTGGTGACTGGGTACTTGAGAGATGTAAATAGTAGTTGCTTTATGCCTGATTAAAATATTATCTAAATAAATATTCCAAAATAATACAGTATGTCTAATTGACTTAGGAGGCCAAGCACAGACAGCAGTGTCTTGCACGTGCTTGCTTCAGCAGCACATGTACTAAATTACGTCTTGTGTGCTCTAGACCACCAAAAAATAGAACAAAATTATACCCCACTGTGTTAACTGATGTGTCTCGGGCTTTGTCAAATATTTGGGGGTGGTGGGGAAGCCCTTTTTAAATGTAGTCCATTACATAAAATGATATTTGGTGATAAACTAGATGGATATTGTGAGGTTTTTCTCCCCATTAACTCATTAAGCATTATAAAAACAATTATCAGTTCAAAAATAATAAAGACCACTATTAACATGAATATGGAGCTTCTATAAATTAACTTTTTTGGCCTCTTTTTAAAATTTTCTTGTAAGGGGAGATGAAGGCTGTGTTTTGTCCTTTTTCAAAAGTACAATGGACCCATCACCCTATTTCCTTAGCTGTCAATCTCAGGGCAGTTCTGCTTCATGCAAACCTTTTCTTACTTTACCTCCACCCTTCATATTGTTCTGAAGCAAATCCTAAACATGATGTCACCTTTTTTAGGAAAGCTTAATTGTATATCTGAAATGTGTAAGACATTCATACTTTAAGCAACAGAATAATACATTTGTCTTTTTTAAAAAAGCATAAAATTCTCATTTTTTCCAAGATGATTATATTGTATATTGCTATCTTCAAAGTAGTTGTTAGGTTACAAGCTACAGGCATGAAAATTGATCAGACAATATAAGTACTAACTGTTCCTTTCAATGAACTAATACAAATTAGTAGTATAATTATCAATCGTGTGTGTGTGTACATACACATATTTTTTTTTTCTTTTCCCTTTTCTACTTTTCTCCTTTGCCACATCCCAGTTGTTTATGCCTTTTGATCAGTGTCTTTCCCTTTCACAATGTCTGTTGTAGATTTTGGGTTTTAGTTACTCTTTCAATTTCTTACACTAGGGAGACAATATAGTGTTTACACTTGCAAGTGTGATTTATTTCATTTAAGAGTATGTTGTCTAGTTGTATCCATTTACATATAAAAACCTCAAGTTTATCCTTTATAGCTGAGGGGTACTCCATTGTATAAAAGGGCTACTTCTTTTTTTATTCCTCACTTGATGGGCAATTGGGTGGTTGCCAAGATTTATCTATTACAAATTGTGCTGCTATAAACATAGGTGCACATATATTGCTGTGTTTTTAGTTCTTGTGGGAAGATACCCAGAAGGGGAATAGTTGGGTCAAATGGGACCTCTAATCCTAGTTTTTTTGAGGAATCGCCACAGTGATTTCCATAGTGGTTACACCAGTCTACATTCCCACCAATAGCAGAGAAAGGTTCCTTTCCCCTACAGCCCTGTCAGCATTTGTTATTGGTTGATTTCTTGATGATAGCCATTCTTTCTGCAGTGAGATGGAATCTCAGTGTTGTTTAAATTTGCATTTCTCAAATGACCAGTGATATTGAAAATTTTTTCATATAGTTATTTGCCATTTATATTTCTTTGTCTGAGAAGTACGTATTCACTTCTAATACCTATTTTTGTATTCAATCTTTGAATTTGGAGGTTCGTTATATGTTCTAGATAGAAGTCCTTTATTTTTCTCAATTTGTGGGTTTTCTTTTCATTCTTTTCATGATTTCTTTTGAAGTACAAAGACTTTTAAGATGAAGATCCCAGTTGATGATTCTTTGAAGTATTTCCCATGAAGTTTTGGTTTTGCTCATGAACTTGCCTACCCCTATATCATATTCAAATTTCTACCCACTTTCTCTTCCAGTACATTTGTTGTTTGTTTGAATACTTAGATCTTTGTTGACTTTAGTTTAGTGCCTGATGATAAACATAGGTCTAGTTTTAGTTTTCAAAACTAGTTTTGAATTCTAAAACTAGTTTTCAAAACATATGGAAAGCCAGTTTTTCTAGCACCATTTATTAAAGAGGCTATGTTTCTTCCAGTGAACATGTTTGGCCCCTTTGTTAAAGCTAAGGTGGCTGATTGTCTTTTTAGTTGTGTCTGCATCCTCTAATCTGTTCCATTGATCCTCAGGTCTGTTTTTTGTTTGTTTTGTTTTTTTTTTTTTCAGTACCATTCTGGGTTTATCACAGTAACTTTGAAGTGTAGTTGCAAGTCAGGGATTGTGATGGCTCCTGCCTTTCCTTTCTAACCCAGGATTGCCTTTGCTATTCTAGGTCTCTTCTGGTTCCAGATGAATTTTAGAAATGTTTTAGGTAGATCTGTGAGGTATGCTAATGGTATTTTGATGGACATTGCAGTAAATCTGTAATGTTGGGAATTTTACAAATTTTGGGAATTTTTATGAGCAAGGGATATCTTTGCATTTTCTGGTATCCTTCAGTCTTCCTTTTCAGAGTATTGTAATGTTTAATATATAGATCTTTTATTTCCTTTGTTAGGTAGATTCCTAAGTATTTCATTTTTTGGATGCTATTGTGATGGATATAGTTTCCTTAACCTCTTTCTCAATGAGTTTTTATTTTTTTATTAATGAGTTTGTTTTTTGTGCACAGGAATGCTATTGATTTTTAAATATTGGCTTTGCATCCAGTATGCTACTGAATTTGCTCAAGAAATTCTTTTTTTTTTTTTTTTTGGCGGAACCGGGGATTGAACTCAGCCCCTTGCACTTACCAGGGAAGCACTTATTCCACTGAGCCATCTCCCCAGCCCCAAGAAATTCTTAATATATTAAACATCTGCTGTTTAGATTGCTGATTATTTCATAAATGTTAGAGTTCTAGAAGTTTATTTTGAAGCCATCATGCAAAGTTTTACAGTTATGTTTGTTTCTAGTTTTACCTAATGACACAGCAGTGAGTGTATTAAAGATAAGTGACTGGGAGGGAGTGGCACACAGTGTAATCCCAGCTACTCAGCATGCTGAGGCAGAAGGATGGCAAGTTTGAGATCCTGTTTCAAAAAATAAAATGGGGTGGGCGTGCAGGCGGCGCTTCCTCCTGGGCCAGTCGGGTTGGGGCGCGCCGGGTCTGGCCTGTCCAGTAGGCCACCATGTTGAAGGTGTCCTTCAAGATCACGCTGATGTGGGACCCGCGGCTGCCGTACAAAGTACTGAGTGTTCCTGAAAGTACACCTTTCACAGCAGTCTTAAAAGTTTGCTGCAGAAGAATTTAAAGTGCCTGCAGCAACAAGTGCAATTATTACCAATGATGGAATAGGAATAAATCCTGCACAGACTGCTGGAAATGTTTTTCTGAAGCATGGTTCAGAACTGCGAATTATCCCTAGAGATCGTGTTGGAAATTGCTAATATCTACTGGGAACATATGATAACCTTTCAGAATAAAAATTGCTATTTTAGTGAAAACAGGCTTTTAGCACATAATGAAGACACCCAAGAGTCAAGGAAACAATGAGTGGTGGCTCTTGTCCCTTCTTGTTTTTGTGTTCTTCATGCCAAGAGGAAGAGCCTATGCATGAACAGTGCCACTGCCATGGAAAGTCATGCTGTGGTGACTGCCACTTCACCAGTAGGGAGTTCATTGGTGGCACATGGATCATGCAACTATTTTTTTACCCGAAAAATAGTTCTGATGATTTTGTGTGAGTACATTTGGAAAATTAAAATTTCCTAAATGTTATGTAATTGTCTCTGAGTTAAAAATGTACAAAGATTGATTATGGATCATAGATGGCAGTTTGCTTGATAGAATGTTATAGACTCATTTATAGATTCTTAAATATACATTTTGTGCTAAGTATAATAGACCTACCAATGAATATTTAACTGTTTTTGTCATGTGCAGCTTAAGTTTTCAAGCTTAATAAGTCATATAAGTTTTAATTAAATATCAAAGAACCAGAAATTTAATTTCTTGATCTGACCATTATGTGCGTACGCTGATGTCACACACCAAAGTTGTTAGCGGTGTTAATTGCCATGGTTGGAGCTGACAGCACAGTAGAGGCATCTTTTCCTAGGCTATGCATTTCTTTAGGGTTATATGTCTTCATCACTTTCTTAATTCAATATTTTTTACGACAACCCTCAATGACTCTTTTTGAAAATACTATTTCTGAGTATCATTCTGAAAGAATGTTGCTACAGGGAATATCTGAAGTTCACCATGAAGCTTGAAGAAGTAGTGATCAGAAATCCTGATGAGTTACATTTATTGAAGACGTAACTTTTGGGGAAGTGCTAACATTAATCACTCAAGTACATA